AATTATTAAATATTTTTGCAATCACTTACATGAATGTTTCTCGAACTCCATACATATTCATTATCAACTTTCAAATGTCTTAGTTATGTCACTATCATTCATTTCATATATAAGGTAAAAAGAAGGCTTAAATACATAAATTTAAGTATTCATCTCTTTGAAGATTCTTTGTTTACCTTCTTTCTCACTAAATCCTTAGATACTTTCATTGATTTGAGTGTTGGAACATATGTCTGTAACTAATTCCAACACCATTGACCATGTTTTCTTTCTACAAGTCTTAGTTTCCCTTCACTTAACCTTTGATTAGCTTCCTTACAGCTAAACACCCGAAAACATTATCAAAATTTTGTTCTAAAGTGATAATTGGATGGGATGTCAATAGAGGTGTTAGGCAAACCTTTTCTTAACAAAGGTTTCCTAGTTTTATGGCGAGAAATCTGCATGTCAACCTCTATTAATAGTGACGCGATAATCGAGTGTGTGTAATACTTGAATTATGAAATAATATTGAATAATGAAATATTTAGATTTTAAAAATCTTTAATGTGATATTTAAAATATTAATTTGATAACTAATGTAATATTTTGAGAGTTGTTTGTTCACAACGTGTCATCAATTAAAATTAATTATATTAAAGATAAGTATCACATTGGTTAATAAATTTATAATTCAAGTATTATATTAAAAATTTTTAAATATTTAAGTATCACATTAAACATTTTATTATAATTTAAGAATTATTTATAATTTAACTCAAATGTGTTATGTGATTGGTGTGTTCCCATGAATTATGATTAATTTTTATATTACACATATATTCAGCACAAAATAGATACGGTATTATTGGAAGCATTTAATCTATAATTTTTTTATTACAATTGTTTGATCATAATAAAAAATAATGTAAAAATCTGTATAAAATCTTCATGATTCCCACACAACTTTAAATTAAAATTAATTAATTATTCCATAATCATTTACACCATAATTATCTTTTTTTTTTATCTATTTAGATGCCCACTCACGAGTAATTAATTTTTTTCTTTAAAAAATTTAAAAGATAGTAGTATTTTAAGAATTAAAACAGTAAAAAATATTCCATCACGTAATGTTATTTATCACCGGAAGGATGCATATTTCATAAATATGTTATATTTGCCGATAAAATAATTACACCAATTTTCCACACTTATTTTACCACCTCCAGTCGAGGAGTGCAACTATCACGCACCGTTTAATATTTCATTCGTAATCCACACGCGTTCGTGGTGGATAGGAGGATAACATCCTTTAATTTTCCGAATGTTACCTTGCAAACAGTGTAAGTGAACTAGGGTTTTTTTTTTTTTATGAGATTTTTTTTTTATAATTATTCTAGATCTTGATTAATTTGGAGTTAGTTAAATCGAATCTTATAAAGAGAGTAAGCTTTCAAGCTTATTTTCTCCATTTATAAGATTTGAAATCTCTTACTTAAAGGAATCAAATTTTTTATCATTCGTACCAATAGATATTAGTAGATATGTTATAACTATAAAAATCAGAATCAGATCAAACATTAAATCATTTAAGGTTTTGAGTTATCAGGTAAATAGTTTAATTATTAGATCAATCAAGTTAATTATCGATTTAATAAAAAATATTATAAAAAACATAGATATTTTAAAATTTTAAAATTCAAACTTTTAACTCAATTTATAATGTAATAATTCAATCATAAAACTCTAAATTTTAAGATACATCATAAACTACAAATTTTAAAATATAAAATTCATAGAACAATTAATTACTAGTTATAAATGAAATTACTTAACATTTTATTAAAATCATATTTTATATTTTAATAATTAGAAACAATATTTATATTTTAATAAATATAATAAATAATAACTAATAAATAATTATAAATAATGATTATTTATTAATATATAATAATTAAAAATTATGTAATAAAAAGAAATATCTATATATAAAATTAATAAAATGAAACATTTATATTTATATTTATATGAAATTAGTAAAAAGGAAATTAAAATCATTTTTATATTTTTTATATGAATGTATTTTTGCATTAATTTGACATATATATACATTTTCTTTATTAATTATTTTTATTATGGTCAAATAATTAATATTTTTATTAAAATTTTATTTTTTTATTAATTTTATATATTATTAATTTATAATTATTTTTAATTATGATATCAATTAGTAAAATTTTTATTAGATAATTTTTTTTTGAAAATTACTTATTTTTACACATGTGAAAGTTTTTTTTTTTTTAATGTCATTATCTATATATCTAAAAATATACCAACATATCATTAATATAAAGTTAAAAGGGCATTGATCATAAAAAAAAAAAAAAAGAGTTAGGGGACTTATTTACATGAAATAGTAATATAAGAGCTTAATTAAATTATTTTGAATGCTTGAAGGGTTTTTTTTTTATATTTTACTTAAATTTATTAGTTAGTATTAAGCCAATCCAGTTTTAAAAAATATAATTTATTGATTTATTATATAAATAATCAATTCACAATGATTTAAAATAATTTAATTGTAAAATTGATATAATTATAGAATTGGATCAATTTCAACGTCGATTCATAAATTTATTTGGTCGAAATAATGATCTAGTCTGATTCTGATAACTATGATTATAACTTACAAATAATTATGTTGCGAATTAAAAATCTAAGAAAGATAATTGTTTAATTTTTTAAAAAAGATTTTGTCAGTTTTTGAGTAATTGTTTCCGTCACTTGGCTGTGAAGAATATTTGAGTTATGGTCTCATGTTTCTAAGCTCATAAAAAACTATTGGAATCTTATCCATAATTTAAAATGTTTGGACATTTAAAAAAAAATTTTGTGGAATATGAGAAAGAACTTTTTTTATTATTTAAAAGAGAAATTGTTAAATACATTAGCAGTTTTAATTTTATAAATGGGATTAAGATGACGATATATGTATTTTAATATATATTTAAAAAATAAAAAATTTAATTAAAAAAAAATTGGGATACAATTATCTTTATCTCATTGATAAAATTAAAAATTTTATTATTAATGTGTTAAATAATTTTTTTATTAAAAAGTCTGAAAAATATTATTTTGATTGGTATGGTGAAGAGTTGGATTTTTAATTTTAATAATTAAAATTTAATTTTCAATAATTTTAATTATAAAATATTATATTATTTATATAATATTATTGCTTTTGTTTTTATGGTTTCGAATTCAAATGGTTTAGCATATTTCTGTAAAGTAAAGGTTTTGTTGTTCCAAATAATGTAAAAAAAAAAAATCTATAATCCTTTATTTCTTGCTTAAAAATAAAAAATAAACACAGTAATTTAAAACACGATATAATAATACAATATGAAAATGAGATATTAAGTGACATGACTTAAAATGTTAACAAAAATTATATATGATTTTAATAAAACAAAAAATATTTTTTATATTTTCGTATTAACACAAATTATAACATATAATTTTTATATAAAATATAATATAAATATATGATTTTTAGTATTTTATACTATATATATACACAAATCTAAAAAAACCAAAAAATATTGATTTTTGTAAACATGCAACATCTTTTGCAATCTAATATTGATAGATAATTATTGCTTTTTTGCTATGATATGTAGATAAAACTTTGAAAATGATGCACAATTGCTTATTTCTAAAGTCATCGCTCGCCGATTGATGTTTTCACTTTTGCACTTATTCATTTGCTTGATTATTTCGTTTTATATATATCCATTATTTCAATTGAAAAAAAGCTGAAATTAAAGGAGTATAAATATTATCCTATTGCATTTATAAATTATTATTGTTAATTTCGTTTAATTTTTAATTTCAACAGTGTCCTAACCCTATATATTTCAAGCATTATCTGTTTTTCTTCTTTTTAAATGCCAAATACGGAACAACAGATTAGTAAAGGGTAATTAAAGAAAAAAGATAATTACAATCACAAGTTTTTTTATGTAAAAAGAAAATTAATATAATTTAAATAAAAATTAGAGATTACAACTCGAATTAAGTCTTTATTCTAATTTTATCTCATCTAAACAAAATTTTTGTTAAGCGATAATTATGTTTGAAATATATTTAATAATTTTAAATTAAATATAAAAATGATAAAAAAAATCTAAAAATAATACAATTTAAATTTTGATAAAAATTTTATGAATTTAATAAAAATAAAAAATAAAAATAATATATATACATGAATTAGAGTTTAATTTGAAACTATTTATTAAACAAATTGAATTAATTTAAAACTTAAAAAACCCTTTTTTTTTACAAAGTTCAAAAAAAAAAAAAAAAAAAAACCAAAACTAGAAGAAAAGACGGCTTAAATGGTACTTTGTTCGTTGTTACCGTTGCAGTTATGTTTTGTCGTTTGGTTTTTTTTAAGTGTTGTCGGATGCTTTCATGATCCACTTCGGGTCTCACATTTTCTAGGTACCACAAGTAAATATCCTCTAAAAATTTGCCAACCTGTTGTTTGTTTTTAGTTTGTTCCCCTTTTTGCTCTCTTTGTTTGAAGCATTCTTTGGCAAGATCCGCTTCCTCTTCTTCCTCTCTCTTTGATTTTTTTTTTTATGCATTTTGTTTTGGTAGAGAGAGAGAGAAAGAGAGAGTTCCATTCTTTTAACAGAGATCTTGGAATTTTCCCATGCACAGGTACTGGAAATTTTCAGGTTTTTTTGGACATATTTATTGAGTTTTGTCTTAAAAAACTGTTTAAATTTGGAAACTTTGATATGGGCTTTGTGTTTTTAATGAAGATTTTTCAATTTTAGAATCACGGTATTTCATTTCTCAGATTTCAGAAATTTCTAAGGTTCAACAAGGCAGTTTCTATAAATTTTCAATGCATTCAACAGTTTTTTAATAAATTTTTTAACCTCTTTGTCTCATTGGGGATTGAAATTACATGGCTTTTCTTGGTTTTGAAGAAGAATTATTGACAGATGGGAAAAAAAAGAGGCTGGTTTTCTGTTGTGAAGAAAGTTTTGAGCCCTGAGTCCAAGAAAGATCAGGTTTGGATGATTTATTTCATAATTCATTGGATAATTTTTTTTTTTTTTTTTGGTTTTTCTAGAGAGGTTTGTGGTTGGTAATTTCATTTTTGGTGCATTTTATTTTACCAGGAAACTCCAAAATTAAAGAGAAAATGGTTGGGAAAAGGCAAGGACTTGGGGCCGGTTTCTTCGCCTGAAGAAACTGAAGTGACTGCATCTTCTCCTCTTTCTCCTCCCATTGAAGATGTCAAATTAACAGAAGCTGAAAATGAAGAAAGCAAACATGCCTACTCGGTGGCTCTTGCCACTGCCATGGCTGCTAAGGCTGCGGTTGCAGCTGCTCAGGCGGCTGCTGAAGTTGTTCGCCTCACTTCTCTGCCAAACTACCCGGGAAAGTCAAGGGAGGAAATAGCTGCTATCAAGATTCAAACTGCATTTCGTGGATACTTGGTATGAAGTCCCTTTTGTTTATTTTTTATGTTATATATACATGAGATGAAACAATTATGAAAGTATGAGAGACCGAGTTCCTATAAGTAAAAATTAAAATAACAAATCAAAATTGATAGATTGAAAAAATTTTAAAATTTTTTTAATATATTTATTAAATATATATTTTTAATAAAAATATTAATAAAATTGTTATCATTAAATATGTATTGATAAAATTTGAATTATAAATAATATTTTTAATAATTATTTTACATATTATTAATTTTATATTAAACTCTATCAATCGATTCAAATTTTTTATTAAAATTTTTATTTATTCATTTTATAAAAATTTTATGAACTCCATCTATAACTCTTCATGTAAGTTTTATCAGTTTGGAGCTCTTTGTTTTTTTTAATTCAATTTGCTTCATTTTGTTATGACAAGAAGGCATCATAAGATTTTGCCTTTTCTTTTGTGAACTTAAATATGGGCTTTTGCTAAATTTGTTTGTTCATTGTCACTACTTGAAGTTTGACCCTTTTTTTGGGGAGGAGGGGGGTGTACAAAGGAGGCTATAATTTGAGATAGGAAAAAGATTTGAATTTAAAATTTATTCGATATCATTTTTTAAAAAATGATTGTATGAATTAATTGAATTAAATTTTATATTAAATTAAACCTTTTTCATTCTAATGAAATTATAACTTTTTAAGAATCTATTGATTTTCAAATGCTCATTCGACTTTTTAATAAAATTCAACACCTTGCATCTAGGTGTATGGGCCTTGAATTTATTTTTTCTTTATTAAGAGTTTTAAATTAGAGTGTTCATTTGATTGGTTTGATTAATTTTAAATCAAATTATCTAAAACTAAATTAATTAAATTAAATTATTTTATTTTTATTAATCGAACTAAATTTATTAATTTTGAAAATTAACATACTGAATTTAATTCGATTAATTTTTCTAATTAATTGAATAATAAATATATTTTTAAGTTAAATTATATTTTAAACTCTTAATTTTTTATATTTTAAACAAACTAAATAAAATTATCAAACAAAATATTTAAATATAAAAGTATTATATTAAAAACTCTAACCACTTATGAAATAAATGATCAATTTTATTTATTATTTATTATTTATTTGAATTATATTATATTTCGATTAAAATTTTGATTAATTCGATTTTAAAATCGAATTAATCAAAAATTGAAATTCTTTTAAAATCATTTTCATTTATTGAAATCGAATTAATCAAAAATTGAAATTCTTTTAAAATCATTTTCATTTATTGATCGAAATTAATTTGATGATTAATCGATTAATCGAATTAAATTGATTTGATCGATTTATTTGATTAAAATAAAATTATGAACGCTTTCTGCATTAGTCATGTCTTGCTATTATGTAAATTTCGAATCATGATAATTTTGAAAGGTGTTCTGTTCAATCAAGGTTATAAAATAGCATAATGATTTACAATCATAAATTCCATGAAACATCCCATTCATAAGGAATTACTTGTATTTATGCGACGAGTTGTTGCATTTGAGTTCTCAGGTTAGGAGGGCATTTTGAGCTTTGAGAGGACTGGTGAGGTTGAAATCATTGATCCAAGGACAATCTGTCAAGTGGCAAGCAACTATTACATTAAGATGCATGCAGACTCTAGCTTATGTGCAGTTCCAGATTCGTGCAAGGAGGCTTAGAATTTTATAATATTGAATTTATGATTAAATAATTATTTATAATAAAAAAAATTATGAAAATTTTGATCATTTAATCAAATCGAATTGATTTTGATTAATTTAGTTATGATCGATTATTTAAAAATTTTTGATTGATTTAATTATTTATAGAATGAAAATCAATTAATTTTTTAAACTGAATCGATCAAACCATCAATTGCTCACCCTTATTTGTAGTTTGTGATTTAATTGTTGGGTGCATCTTATTTTTACCAGGAAACTCCAAAATCAAAGAGAAAATGGTTGGGAAAAGGCAAGGACGTGGGGCCAGTTTCTTTGCCTGAAGAAACTGAAGTGACTTCACCTCCTCCTGTTCCTCCTCCCATTGGAGATGTCAAATTAACAGAAGCTGAAAATGAACAAAGCAAACATGCCTACTCGGTGGCTCTTGCCACTGCTATGGCTGCTGATGCGGCGGTTGCTGCTGCTCAGGCGGCTGCTGAAGTTGTTCGCCTCACTTCTCTACCATGCTACCCGGGGAAGTCGAAAGAGGAAATAGCTGCCATCAAGATTCAAGCTGCATTTCGTGGATACTTGGTATGGATTATCGCCTTTGTTTATTTTTTATGTTATATATACATGAGAAGAAACAATTATGAAAATATAAGAAAATTCCAAGTATTTCAGTTTCAGGCCGGAAAAAACTTAAATGAAGTTTTACAAATAAAGTTTGAAGTTTTTATTAGAAATGAGCAAATTAAAATTAATAAATTAAAAGATTTCATAACATAGATCAGGCTAGAAAAAACTTAAATAGAGTTTATAGGAAAAATTTATAAAATTTCTTATTAGAAACAAGTAAATAAAAGCTGAAATGAAAATCAAAACTAATAAATTAAAAATTCTTATCATATAGATTACGAATATAAAATTTGAAAAAAATTTAATAAATTTTGATATATTTATTAAATAATTATTTTTAATAAAATATTGATAAAATTTTTATCATTAAATAAGTATTGATTAAATTTAAATTGTAAATAATATTTTAAATAGTTTTCTATATATTATTAATTTTTACATTAAATTTTATTAATTTATCGATTTAATTAAAAAAAATTTTTTTTTATCATTTATAGTAAAAAACTTCACGAAATTTACCGTTTGGGACTATTTGTTTTTCAATTCAATTTGCTTCCTTTTGTTATGACAAGAAGGCATCATAAGGTTTTGTCTTTTTTTGTGAACTTATATATGGGCTTTTGCTAAATATGTTTGGTCGTTGTCACTGTTTGAAGTTGGAGCTTTTTTTTTTTCTTTTTTTTTTTTTTCCGGTGCAAAGGAGCCGACCTTACCCGACCCGACATTATTAAAAAATTATTTTTTAATTAATTAATTATTATTTATATATTATTTATATAATGATATTTTTAAATATTTATATTTAAAAAATAATATTTTATATTTTAAAAAATAATATTTTATTAATTTCGGGTCGGGTCAGATTGGGTACGGTTTACATATTGTCGGGATCGAGTCGGAGTCAGGTATTAAAATAATTCGGGTCGGAGTCGGGTTTGATGAGCAAAAAATCGGGTCAGGTTCGGGGCGAGCAAAACCCGTCCCGAACCCGACCCGATGCCATCCCTAAAAAGAGGTCATAGCTTGGGAAAGAAGAAGAATATAAACTTTAGATTTATTGAATATCATTTTTTAAAAATAATAACATTAATTAATTAAGCTATATTTTAAATTTAAGTTGGAGCCTTTTCATTCTAATGAAATTATGACTTCTTAAGAATCTATTGATTTTCAAATGCTTATTCTGACTTTTTAATAAAATTCAACACACTGCATTTAGGTGTATGGGCGTTTCTTGAATTTATATTCCCATTATTAATAATTTCAAGTTAAGGGTATTCATTTGATGGGTTTGTTTAATTTCAAAATGAATTATTTAAAATTAAATTAATTGAATTATATTATTTTATATTTATTAATCGAATCGAATTTATTAATTTTAAAAATTAAGCGATTGAAATTAATTGGGTTAGTTTGGTTAATTTTTTCAGTTAACTTAATAATAAATAGATTTAAATTAAATTATATTTTAAACTATTAAATTCTTATATTTTAAATAAATTAAATAAAATTATTTGATAAAATATTTAAATATCAAAATATTATGTTAAAAACTCTAACAATTTATGAAATAAAATGATCAATTTCATGTATTTTTTATTTTATATTTGAATTACATTATATTTCGGTTAATATTTTGATTAATTCGATTTTATAATCGAATTAACTGAAAGTCGAAATTCTTTTAAAATCATTTTCGTTAACTGATCGAAATTAATTTGATGATTAGCCAATTAACCAAATTAATTCGGTTCCATCAATTAATTACTTAAAACCGAAGTACGAAGACCCTTATTGTAAGCTTTCTGTATTAGTCATTTCTTGCTATTATGTCAACTTTGAATCATGATGATTTTGAAACGTGTTCTGTTCAACTAAGGAAACTAAAAAGCATAATGATTTACATTAATAAATTCCATGAAACATCCCATTCTTGAGCAATTACTTGTATTTATGCTATGATTTGTTGCATTTGAGTTCTCAGGCTAGGAGGGCATTGCGAGCTTTGAGAGGGCTGGTGAGGTTGAAATCATTGATCCAAGGACAATCTGTCAAGCGGCAAGCAACTACTACATTAAGATGCATGCAGACTCTAGCTCATGTGCAGTCCCAGATTCGTGCAAGGAGGCTTAGAATGTCAGAAGAGAACCAGGCTCTTCAGCGGCAGCTCCAACAGAAACGAGAGAAAGAGCTCGAGAAGTTGAGAGCTTCTGTAAGTGCCTGGATTTGCACATTTTACCCTTTTGACTGTAAGTTTTATTGTTTACACGATTAGTAGTTTCGTAGTACAACTTCTGTAATGTAAATATGATAATCTAAAACATTATACAATAATGCAATATAAAAACGATATGAATAAAAGACACAAAGATGATGCGATTTAAAATTTTAACAAAAATTATAAATAGGTTTAATAAAACAAAAAAAAAATTTATATTTTGATATTGATACGAATTATAACATATAATTTTTGTGTATAATATAATAAGATTACATGAATTCCCAGATACTAAATGTACAGATTGGTTTTTTAAACATATGTTTGACAGATGGGAGAAGACTGGAATGATAGTACAAAGTCTAAGGAGCAAATTGAAGCAAGACAGCAAAATAAGCAAGAAGCGGCTATGAGAAGGGAAAGAGCATTAGGTTATGCATTATCGCACCAGGTATCGGGTTTTCCCTTTTGTTAGGCTTTTCGTTCGTAAAATATGTATTGAATTTCAATGTTTTAGTGCTTACAAACTAACCTAAATGACCATTTTTTTAACAGCAATCATGGAAGAACTCTTCTAAATCAGTGAATCAAACATTTATGGATCAAAATATTCCCCATTGGGGTTGGAGTTGGTTAGAGCGATGGATGGCAGCCCGGCCATGGGAGATCCGAAGCACAACAGATAACAATGATCGTGGCTCAGTTAAGAGTATGGGTGCCCGTTCCATGTCCATAGGTGAAATCAGCAGGGCTTATCCTCGAAGCCCAAAATCAAGTCGATCTCGCAGCCGCCAATCCCATTCAACTCCACCCCCCAAGGCACCTTCTGTATCATCAGTTTCCAGTAAAATAAGAGTGCCAAGCACAAGGGGGAGTCAAAGGGGAGGCGACCAGGACTCGAGGAGCATGCTCAGTGTCCAATCTGATCGTCAAAGGAGACACAGCATTGCAGGGTTATCAATGAGAGATGATGAGAGCCTTGCAAGCTCACCTGCAGTTCCAAGTTACAAGGCATCGACACGGCCAACAAAAGTCAGGTCCCCATTGCCAAGTCCATTGGGATTAAAGAAAAATGGGACACCCGAGAGGGGACCGGCTGGCTCAGCGAAGACGCGGCTTGCATTCCCTGTATCCCCAGGTATGAACAGGAGACACTGGTCCTCCTAAGGTGGATACCAAAATGCAGAAAGAAGAGAAACCGAGCAATGGAGGATGCAGGTAGTGGCAATGGAAATGAAGAACTTCTGAGTTCAGATATATATACCAATAGGAAACCAAAGAAGAATGAATAAAAGATGTCTTTGTTTGTTTGTATTTTTGTCTTCTTTTAAAAGATGTCTTATTGACAAACAGTTTTAAGCTTTCAATCATGTCAAGTGGTGAAAAATAACAAAATATGAAATATATTTTTCCGGAATTAGTAAATGAATATCACCTAAGCAACTAAAGCGAAAAGTGTGGCACTTTGATGAAGATTGCAAGTGTGCTTGAAGATATATGGTATGCAAATTAATCGAGCTAAAGAAATTGTAAAGCCCCTCAAAGGCCTAGCCTAAAAGTTTCGAGTGGTGAGATAGAGGTTTTGTAGTATTAACTTGAACAGATATCAAATGTTTTAAGTTGAATCACATTCTCATTTCTTTTTTTTTTAATGATTTCGCGGTTCGATAGTTTGACATATGCAGATGGTTCAAAATTGTGCATAAGCTTATTTATTTTGTAAACCATAATGCTTTATATGCATTTATATCAAGTACGAATAGAAATGAAAATAATAAATCAATATTAGCAAACTATTTGAGTTTAATTCAGATAAAATTCAAATTTTATTCAATTATTATTGAATTGATTTTGAGCTTAAATAACTTGATTTATTGAGTGAATTAAATTTGAACATGTTAATATTTGATTCAATTAGCTCATAAATTTAATTGATTATCATTTTTTTTAATGACTTCGCAGTTCGATGATCTGACATATGCAGATAGTTCAAAATTGTGCATAAGCTTGTTTATTTTGTAAACCATAATGCTTTATATGCATTTATATCAAGTACAAATGGAAATAAAAATAATAAATCAATATTAGCAAGCTATTTGAGTTTAATTAAGATAAAATTTAAATTTAATTCAATTATTATTGAATCAATTTTGAGTTTGAATAACTTGATTTATTGAGTGAGCCAAATTTGAATATGTTAATATTTGACTCAATTAACTCATAAATTTAATTGAATTTTTAAAATTTAATATGTTTTATTATTTTAATTAAAAATTATTATTTTATCATTATATATATCAATTTAAGTTTGAATTCGAATTTAAACACATAATTAAGTTTAAAATTAAGTACAAAAATTGAATTCATTTTTATTAAATAATCCAAATTGAAATCATTTGAATACTCAATTTTTATCATGAGTGAAGATTAAATTTAAAAATTAAAATTTGGTTGAATTTAAATTGAATTTTAAATAATAAATTTTGAATAAAACTGAGACTTATCACTGTTTCGATTCAATTACACCCTTCGTATAAGATTTATTGACTTATAACATATAATTTAACAGGGAGAATGCAACACTGGACAAGATGAGGGAAGCGCATAGGAAAAAAGTGGTTGCAAACTATCCTGATACAGGTGGTAGCCATTACCTTGTTTCGAAAATCAATGAAGTTAAAGACGTGAAAATCAATGAAGTTAAAGACGTGATGCTCGGAAAGACAAAGGTCAGTGTATCTGCATTTTACTCATAAATAACCTTCGACCCCTCCTTGCTTTTGACAACCTGCAAGAAGTAAACCCTCTTTTGTCGCCCTTCAAAAGTATTTCTTTTATATGAATTTGCAGCTCTTTTTTGGCCCCAAAAGCATAGACATTGTAGTTCCATTTCTTTGATACTTTTGTATCTCGAAAGCAAGACTCGTCTCGAAATGATCCGAACAACTAGGCGGCCGCCTTTGACTCGTCTCCAAATGTTCCCAACAACTAAGCGGCGGCCGTTGAGGCCTAGACGGATTCAAAGGAAATTGCTGTCAAGAAATTCTATGGTCATCTACTATAATGTTCAAGGATATTCATGAGTTTTAGTTGAATGGGATTTGAGTTCTTTAATATTTCAATCAATACATTGGTTTAGAATTTATAATTGGTATATTTATATCATATAAAATATTAAAAATTCGTGTATTCATATTATATTTTATATAAAAATTGTATCACAATTATATTGATATGAAAATATAAAATATATTTTTTTAATTTTGTAAAATTTATTTATGATTTTTGCTAAAATTTTAAATCACGTTATGTTTATATTTTTTATTATATTATTTTCGTATTATATTACTGTGTTATATTTGAAATTATCAAATCTACTTTGACATATGAAAATAAACCCTATTATGACTCATGTAAGTAGATAAAGTTAACATTTTATTTGGTCTTATTCCATTTATAATTATTGTTAGTAAAATTATCAAATTCATTGATAGTAAAATTTTTAAATTTTATTAACAGGGTTTGCAAGGTGATTTTTACTTTTAGAGTATATTTAAAAATATATAAAAATTAATTTAATAAAATGAAATGCATAAATTTTTTTAATCGCTAAAAATCTTCGCATCAAATAATTTCCCTTCTTTTTACTGTTATTACTATGCTTCTTTTTTTGAAGTGAATCAAATTGCATTCTAGTCCAATTTATATAGTTTCCTTATGTTAAAATGCTTGAAATGTTGGTGGTAATTTTATATTCAAATGACTTCTTTGCTAATTTTGTACATAATAAATCACACCTGCATGAATAAAAATATTATAGGCATTAAAAATAGGTTTAAATTTGTTAAAGATTACGTTTTAAAGTTGCATAAATTTTTAAAATTTTATTAATAAATATGATATTTTATTTATATATATGACACCATTGATAGAGAAAATATTTTGAAAAAAAAAAGTAAATTGAATATTTTGAGTTTTTTTTGGATTTAAGTTGAACTTTAAATGGGGGAGAAATAAAAAAAAAATAGTAGTTTTGAAAATAAAAGAGGAAAAATTATTATTTTTCAATAAATAAAAAAATAAAGAGAACCCAAATGAGTTTTATCTAAGGTCAGTAATTTAATCCATCCCCGATGGTTTTCGATTCGATCCAACCTTACAGGATCAACTTTTTTTTTTTTAATTTGGGTTTCGAGTCGAGTCGGATCGAATAAGATTATGAATCAATCGAGTAGGGTCGACTAAGATTATGAATCCGATCCGACCTGATATTATATAAAAATTTATTTTTTAATTAATTATTTAATTATATATATTTATATAATGATATTTTTAGATATTTATATTTAAAAAATAATATTTTATTAATTTCGAATCAAATTAATCGGAATACGATTTATTTAATATTAAATCAAAATCAGATTCAAATATGAAAAAAACAAAAAAAATTTTAAATAAAATTAAATTTAAATTTAATAACACATAAAAATTAAATCAGATTCGAGATAAACAAAACATGTTTCGAACTTGAACCGGCAACTCCAGTTCCATCAAGGAAAGGGTAAGTAATGGAAGTCATGGAGCCAAAAAAATGACACGTGTTAAAATGAGATGCAAAAGGTGTTTGTCAATTTGTTATTCGTCAACCTAATTTTAGCCGCTAAAAACAATTTTTATGGATCCACTAATTCCGTTTGTTTTCTATTCACATATATATATATATTTAAAAAATTAAATTAAAAGATATTTTGCGGATTTTTTTCTTAATTTAAATAAAAAATTTATTAATTTATTTATCTATAAAATATATTAACAAAACTTAAAACTAAATTTAATTTAATTAATTTATATAATATTTTTAAAATAATATTTTATAATTTCAATTTTAACTCTTAGCATTTGTATTTTCTTCATTATTTTTAAAATATAACTTTTTTATAAAAAAAATTAATGCATTATAATAATAAAAAGGTAAAAAATTTTATATTTTAAGATCTTTTAGAGAAAAAAATTAAATCCAAATAAAATTAAAAATTAAAAAAATTCAATAATTTTGATAATTAATAATAATATGTGGTTTTTTATTTTTTATTTTACTTCATTCTTTTTTAAACCCAAAATAGAACCTTTTTTTTTCTAGTAAATCTTTGTCACAGCTTACAAAGATGGAAGAAAGTGATCTCCAAAAACTAAATATTAATTTACAACTATTTTTTTGTAAGAAATATTTTATTTATAGCAAAACAACAAGTATTTAAACTAAAAAGAATCTACTAAAGGAAAATGTTATTCATAAAAAAAAAAATTATATATTATAATTCGTATCGATATTAAAATATAAAATATATATTTTTTATTTTATTAAAATTATATATAATAATTATTAAAATTTTAAATTATATTATTTTTATATTATATTTAGTGTTTATTTATCATATAATCTTTTAAATTGCTAACGCAATAAACCTAAGGTCACACAAAGCCTTACGTCAGCTTTTTACCCACTCGCTGTTGTTCATCCAAAAAATAATGTTATTTTATTTGATTATTTTTCCATAAATTGATAAAAATTAAAAAAAAAAGAAAAGGACAGAGGCCTATTCTTCCTAATCCTCCACTTCTTCTCCCTCCTTTTGCCACACCATATATCTCGCTCTCTTAAAATAAAAACTGTAAAAAAAAAGAAGAAGCTATATTTAGCGTTTCTTTTTTGTTAAATTCCAGTTTAGTCCCTCAATATCCACTCTCCTTTTCAAAATCACCCCTTTAATTCACTTCTTGTTTTTGTCACTTAAAAAAGAACTACCCATTTTAAAGCTACAATGTTCTCCCTTTCTTTGGGGTAAAAATCGAATCTTCTTCCATAAAATAGACAAAAAACTAATACCCATTTGGCTGTTATGTCCGTACAGATAAGACTTTTGGAAAAGCAGCATCAGTTTCTTCAGCAAATCCTCTCCCCAAGTAAAATCTCCTTTTAGTTCATTTCCTGTAGTTTTATTGGCTAAAGATTTAAATTTTCCTCTGGGTTTTTATTTTTATTTGTAATTTTTATTTTATGTTTGAATTGTGGTTCTAGCTTGGTGGTTCTTTTTAGTTGGTGGGTGAAGAATTTGTTGAATCTTAAGAAAAGTGCAAATTTTGAGTTTCTATTATAGGAAAGATAAAATTTTTGGGTTGTTTAAGGGAATGGAATCGATTTTTGATTCGATTTAAGTAGTAAAAAAGCTCCTTTCAACTTTGGATTGCCTGAAGATTTGATATTAGCTGTTTTAGTGGGTGTGTTGAATATGGTTCTTGTTGAATCTTGGTAGAGAAGGAGAGATTTTGGGGGGATTTGTATTAAAGAGTGAGGAGCTTTTGAGGTGGTAGAAGTAATGATGTTGAAAAATGATCCAATTGAATCGATTTCGAATTCGCTTCAGTTTATAAAAGAAGCATGTTTCCCTCTCGAATTGGGTATTAAGAAGGCTGCAAAAGGTCTTGAAAGTTGTTGGGGAGTGTCAAATGATAAAGGAAATAATGTTGAATTGATTGCCCAATTGAATGGTAGTGATAGGAATGGTAAGGTTCAAATCTACAGTCTGAAGAAGGGTAGTGGTAGTTTTGGAACTGGTGTTAATAATGGGCTGTGTTGTGTTGGTAGTGAAGAGAGAAAGAAAGGGCTGTCTATTAAGGTTCCCATCAAGGAACTTATGGGAATGTTTTCGCCGGCAAATGGACAGAACAATGAGAAGGTTGAGGTGGTTAGCAAAGGATTGAAAGAAAAGGATGTGGATAGAGATGAAGGGTCTTGTATGAATTGCTTGCAGTTCGCAGTGTCTTGGTCAGTGTTAGTTAATGGTTTTGTCCAGGCTATGCCGAGCTCATTTAAGCCAGGGAGGAAACGAATTCGGAAAATAGATGACAAAGATACAGGGTGTCTGTTGTGTACTAATGACATGAAATCAAAGGCTCCATTTGAGTTTAAGTGCAGAGAGTCGAGGGCTCAGTTTATTGCAAAGAATGAGGGTATGGAACATAATGATGGGAAACATGTATCATTTGAGTGCTTTATAGGGTTTATATTTGATCAGTTGACTCAAAATCTTCAGAAGTTTGATCAACTTCTTCAGGAAAGTAATGAAAAGCATTGTGATTGTCCACCAACTCCATCTTCTCCCTCTCAGTTTGATCATTTTAAAGCAGTGACAAGTATTTGGGAAGGTAAAAAGGTTTATGTTAATGGGTTTTTGGGAAATTTGAAGTTTGCTAGAGTGGGAGGTGTTCCATCAGGTATAGTTGGAGTTGGTTCTTCAGTGAATAAAGAGGGTGATGATGGTGTTAGTACCAGCGGTAAGGAAGAAACAGGTGGTAATTCCCCACAGAAACTGGCCAGTGGGTTACTTAGCATTCCTCTGTCAAATGTGGAGCGTTTGAGATCTACCTTATCCACTGTCTCACTGACGGAATTGATTGAGCTTCTACCACCTTTGGGCCGCTCTTCACAAGACTATCCTGACAAGAAAAAATTATTCTCTGTCCAGGATTTCTTCAGATACACAGAATCTGAAGGTATGGTTTCTCATTCATCTCTGCAAACAATTAGTGTTGCGTCATTTTTTTGTTTGGTTCTGTGAATAGCAGCATCAGTAAAAAAATGTATTATGGTGTAGAGTATTAGTAGATAATTCAAACTATAGTTTTCTTAAACTCTGTAGTGTGTTTATCTTCATGCTTAAGGTGCAGGAACTGGGTAGCTTTATATTGGGATATCTCCTTTCCCTTAATCCTAATTGAACTTGGAGATTCAGATTGTAACTTTTGAGCACAGCATAAATAAGCTGTTTTTTGTGTTTGGGACTTGTCACTGATAATTTTTCTTCTACTCAGCCTTATCAAATTTCATGCTAAATGAGTTCATATCCTTTGAGTTTTCATTGCATTAATTTCAGTTTGGTTAATATATCATGGTCTAATATGATTAACTATAGTGCAGTGTACTACTCATGCGAGGTATGCTCTGACTTGTTACTCTTGCATTATTCTGTCAGGGCGGAGGTTCTTTGAAGAACTGGATGGAGATGGTGATGGTCAAGTAACTTTAGAAGATCTTGAAGTTGCTATGAGAAAAAGAAAATTGCCACGGAGATATGCTCAGGAATTTTTGCGCCGCACTAGAAAAAATCTATTTTCAAAATCTTTCGGTTGGAAGCAATTTTTGTCCCTGATGGAACAGAAGGAGCCAACCATTCTTCGAGCTTATACTTCTCTTTGTCTAAGCAAGTCTGGGACCCTCCAAAAAAGTGAAATACTTGCATCACTAAAAAATGCTGGACTTCCAGCAAATGAAGACAATGCTGTTGCTATGATGCGATTTTTAAATGCAGACACTGAAGAATCTATTTCATATGGGCACTTCCGCAATTTTATGCTTCTGTTGCCTTCTGACCGACTACTTCAAGATGATCCTCGGTAAGATTAATTTTTCCACTTGACGAGTCTTATTTAGAAACTCTAGCTGATGTTGGTTACTGAATTACAGTATGTAGGTTCCGTTTGTGATGTCGTTTATTTACTACAGTACTGCTCTGTGCTTCTTGATTTGAATACCTTGTAAAAAATGCTATTGTTTCTAATTGATCAATGCATATGTTTAGTATAAAATTTTGGTGCCAGGCCATAAAGGTTATTACAGCTGCTGAATACTAACTGCGCTTACCCTCACCTCCCTTTTTCATTTTGTGAACATATATGTTTTAGCTGGCACATGCACTCATTTTCCACAATGGTGACCAACTGTTGACAGTTTTGTTTTACATACAGGAATATCTGGTTCGAAGCTGCAACTGTCGTTGTTGTTGCACCACCCGTGGAAATTCCTGCTGGAAGTGTTCTTAAATCTGCATTGGCAGGGGGTCTTTCATGTGCACTCTCCACATCTTTAATGTTCCCAGTTGATACTATAAAGGCACATTCTTCAGCTTAATGCTGTTTTTCCATAATAAAATCTGCCTGTTTTTGAACATCTAGTAAAATCCATAATCATCATACCTTTTATGAGGACAGACCTGCACTCTGCCATGTTAGTTTTTACTTGTCTGTGAGTGTGGAGAGCTCATGTGTGTGAGACTTTCATAACCAACAGTATTCCTTATGGCACATATGGTTAAAAGCAGTTTCTTTGTGACTTTCATAGCCAACAATATTCCTTATTTCCTCTTTTTATTGAATACATCTTGTGATATGCCAATAGGGCATTTTTTTCATCATTCCTTTTTTTTTCCCTTTTTGTGTTTTATCAGACTCGGGTGCAGGCATCAACCCTGACTTTCCCTGAAGTTATTTCAAAGCTTCCACAAATTGGAGTACGGGGGTTATATAGGGGTTCAATCCCTGCAATTCTTGGACAGTTTTCAAGGTATTATATGTTTTTCATAGTTTACCATTCTTTTTTCTTTCTGAATTCTGATTTTGCTTTCTGTCATTTATTCGTCTAATTGGTTTTCTTTCAACATTGCAGCCATGGCCTGCGAACGGGAATATTTGAAGCATGTAAGCTTGTATTGAGCAATGTTGCTCCAAACCTCCATGACATCCAGGTACTTGATTTTGCACTATTTTGGTTGTGAATTTGTGATTGATTTCTCTTGTTTCTTTGTAACACAGCTTTAGCTTTCCTTAATTTTCCTTTTCAAAGGATATCCTTCATCTCTCATAACGTTTCTTACAAGTGCCATTCATGTTGCTATTTTTTATCTTGCCAAGTTTATTTGATTTCCCTGATTTCATGAATGTTGCTAGACTAGTCATGGAAACAAGGAGAAATTACATGTTGAACTTGAAGTTTCTTCTTTTTTATGTATAAATGATGTTGAACAGTTACCTTACTCAAAATATTCTACCGATGTTTCTACATTCATGCATAGTGCACATTTGAAGTACTCTCTATGCATGAACATAAACAATAACCAAACTTGAACGAATTGTTCTATTACAATTTGGTTCTTCAGTATAACTTTGAAGAGGAAGACTCTAACTGAGAGTTTGTGATTACTGGTTTCTCAGATTTGTACCGGATCCTCTTGTTTGTCGATAGTGTCTTTATGTGCTCATGAAGTCTAGCACTCTTTCTTTGTATGTGAATGCATCCACATGTGCTTTTGTGGGTTTGTCTCTCTTTGTATGCTTAAAGAAGTAACTGGTTTGCGCACTTGATTTTCCAATTCCAGAAAGGAATGATTCTAATTAAATTTTCTGTCGATTTTGATTTGCAACACCGAGTTAAATTTGCATTTCTTTGCTATTTAGGTTCAATCCATGGCATCATTCTGCAGCACATTTTTGGGAACAGCAGTGCGGATTCCTTGTGAGGTACTGAAGCAGCGTTTACAGGCTGGCCTTTTTGACAACGTTGGAGAAGCTCTTGTTGGTACTTGGCACCAGGATGGTCTGAAGGGTTTTTTCCGTGGTACCGGGGCCACTCTCTGTCGTGAGGTGCCATTCTATGTTGCTGGGATGGGCCTTTATGCTGAATCTAAGAAGGTATCAAGAATTTTTATTTCTGTAAGTAATTTGCCGGTGTAGTCAAAGATCAAGGCACCGGAACTTGTTTGTATCACCTAGGCAGCTGGTGCTAAGAAGGCACTTGCCTTAATAAAGCAAGTTCCTTGTAATTATAAAATTCTGTATAAAAGCCAATATATGCCTTATAATCCACGTATTTACAGTAATGTTGATAGTTTTTGCATCCTTAAATGCATTAGATTGTTTCGTATACACTGAAATACTTGTTCTAATGAGAAAAACCATGTTGTTTTCCAACTGTAATAACAATTTTTATCATTATTTTTTGTGTTTAGCTTGCCCAGCAACTTCTACGACGGGAACTGGAACCTTGGGAAACGATCGCAGTTGGAGCTTTATCTGGAGGGTTAGCTGCTGTTGTCACTACACCTTTTGATGTCATGAAAACCAGAATGATGACTGCTCCAGGGGGCCGACCGGTATCAATGTCAATGGTAGCCTTATCTATAGCCCGCCATGAGGGACCTCTTGGTCTGTTTAAAGGAGCAGTACCCAGGTTTTTCTGGATTGCTCCCTTAGGAGCCATGAACTTTGCCGGCTACGAGTTGGCAAGGAAGGCAATGGACAAAAATGAAGACGCGGCTACGAATCAACTCTCCCAAAAGAAATTGGCTAATTCTGGGTAGATTCAAATCCTTCCAAAGTAACAATTTAATCTATAATGGCCTCTGGGATTTTTTGTTAGTGGTGAAAGCAACTGAAAGACGCTGGAAATTTTGTGCTCCCCCCCCCCCCCCCCCCCAAAAAAAAAAAAAGCATCAGCAAGTTCTTCAAATTTTTGCTAAAAAATTGTAATTTTTCTGGCAGTTTACATATTTTATGACCTTTTGAACCATATTTAGTATGCCAGGGGAGTGGTGGATCAGATCTGTTGATCAGCTCTTGGGTTAAATTTTGTCTCTTGAATTCATTTTTCATATTTTCTGTCCATTCTTTGTGCAGTAAGTGTTCTTCGTTTCAGTTGTATACACTAAAGAGGTAGTTTCATAGATCTTTTTTCCAATTGATTTGTTAATTAGGCAATAGAAAATTGGGTGAACTCTTATTATGCTGATAAAATTTCATATAAACCCGACAATTCATTATGTTTGTGTCGTGTGAAATGCATATAAAACACAAAAAATCACTGTTTTAAATTAATGTGACACGTCAAACATAAGATATATATGTTGGTTTTCCAATTCATATGAAATTTTTATTAAAATTTCAAATGCTATAACTTTTACGTCTATCGTTTTCATGTTGTGTTATCAATTAATGTTTTGCAGATATTGTACATCAGAAATTGACATCCTGAGGAAACAGGCTAGGCAAATGAAAAAATTTTTCCCTTAAAACATGGATATTTTTGCCACTTAAATGAAGCATGTCTTACACTATCCAATTTGATTCTCAAGTGAATGAATAAAATCTGTCTTTCTCCACAGAAAACCGAATTATTATTGGAGCCCAATCTTTCCAACACAAAGCAACCAAATTACACAAAAGAACAACAGAAAAAACAAGATCACTCACAAAATTCTGGTTATGAATGTGAAGGCTTGGCAGCACTTAAATCAGCAAAAAGAGGTCAATAGCCCCAGTTGTCATTCCGAATCTCATCTTCAAATTTCTTCTTCAGCTCAGGATGCTTCTCGAAGTACTCATCGGCTGTCATGGTGCTGATCTTTCTCTGTTCAAATAAAGAAAAAAGAATAACAAAATCATCAATATCAATTAGAACAAAGAAAGACTCATTCGGGGATTGTTTTCCAATTACCTTCAGTTCCTGAACCTCAGCAATTTCTTTCTCCAAGCGTTCAGACTCTTTCAGGGATTTCTCCTCTGCTTCTTTCAATTCAACCAACTAAGCCACAAGTAAATAGCATATCAGATAAGGAAAAAAAACCAAAAGAAAAAAAAAAGAAAACTGAGATAGAGGTAAAATAGAGTCAAGTAGCCTGTTCATTCGCTCACCAATGCATCAAATTTTGGCTTGTATTGTGGAGTGACTGTGTCAACAAACTTAGGGATCTCCACGCCTGCAAAGGAATCATATAAAATGTGTAAAGATGGGGGAAAAGCTCGATATGTAGAGAAAAAGAAAACAGATGAAATCGAGAACTCCCCACAGCTCCACCCAAACCCGAAAACATTCACACAGTTGCTAAAAATTGCAGCCAATGTAAGAATCCATTTAACCGAGTTACTAGAATGAAGGAGTTCTACATGGCAATCAACCAATATGCCAAGAAAACTGTGAAATGGCAGCAGCCTTATTTAACATGGTTAATTGCTAGCAGGTGCTCTAGGAAAACCTTCTGTAAAAAATTTGAAAGCCATCCAGTTCAATGGTTGAGTGACATTTTGTTGATCATAAAAAAATAGAGGCCCAAATTGAACTCCATTGTACATCAAACATCGAAAGTATAGGAGTAAAGGGAGTCTTAAGTGTTCTGCAGGATCTGATCACCATACAGTATTATGAAAATGAAGCATCTAAGGCATGTACCTAAAACTGTTCATAGCTTTTTACGAGAGAATTGCATTAATATACAATACTAAGAACTGTCTTAGTAAATTATATAACAACCAATTAATATAAAGTCCTTATTGGCAAATAATTTCCACCTTAGGTTTTGGAACTGGTCTTAGAAAGATCAAAGACACCTGCAGTTGAAGAATGGTTGACAGAATTAACATCCGTCCTTTACAAATTTTCCCCCAGCCAATGAAGAAAGAAAAAGGAGAATGGTAGCTAGTCAAGGTGATAAGAAATTGTTGCCTCATATCTAGAAGCTGAGCTTAAATGCGAGTGCAAAGCACCAATCGAGGAAGCTGCAACAGTGTGAGGTACATAAAACAAGAGGCATGTAGACCATTACGCTTTTAGGAACCTACAACTGATCTAAGCATAACAGGGCAACTGAAAACTAGTATATAAAGTAAACCAACCACAACAACCATCAAATGAACTTACTGTCATAAGCCTCTTTGTACATATCCACCACCCGAGAGCCAATTCCTTTTCTATAGTATTCCCAGTCAATAGGTTCAGGTTCCTGCTTAAAGGCAAATCAGATTATTAACAAGATAGGGCTTGGCTCACAGTTATAAGAAAGTTAATACAAGAACCAATCAACAATCACCCCTAACAACAAACAAAAGTCTTCAAAATGAATCTTTCTTGATAGAAAACATGACTTGCAATTTGCTTCATTTTCCCTCAGTTTTTGCCTTTAACGTCACACTTAAAGGTAATCCCAAAAGTGAAATGTCAAATAAGGTTTACACAGTTGAAAATTTCAAGGAAATGAAACCTTCATTTTTAGTTCAAAAAAACCAAGCTGACAAAGCAGCCAAATCCAGTACTTTTTTTGGTGGGTTCATCTGGCCATAGTGTTCATCCAAGAATTAGTCCCTTCAATATAAGTGAACCTTGATACTTCCGAAAACTCAAATGTAAAGGCAAAGGGACACACTTCTAACACTTCTACTGCAAATGCCCGAAAACCATGGATACAAAAATGGAGCAGAATTAAAGGGAAAAATAAAACAAAAAACTTTAACAACCATCAAGAATGATCAAGAAACCGGTACTTAAAATTGCAGAATTCTATTTTTCGCATACAGAAAAAAAAGAACTGAACTTAAACTCTTTTTCAGTAACACATAATAAAACAATATACCCTTAAATTATTTTATTCCTTTATCAATTCTTTGGGATAAATTAATTTTTATGAATTCATTTTATCAACCCAACTAAATTTAATAGTGTCATGAGCAAAAGAAAATGTGAAATTACAATAACTAGATTTCCACTTTTGTCTCGTATTTTCCTTTTCATTTCTGAACAATATTCTTGTGGAGATCCATACCCAACTTGCGAAGTATTGTCCGTTTTGACATGAAAGTCTCATGATTTTATCTCATAAAAGACATCTTACACGTTTGGGTTTAATCTCTACAAATATATCATATCATATTTTCACATTCTTTCAAGAAGGAATTGGGGCGTCACAATTCTCATCCCATTTTTGAACAATAATAAACAGTAAATTTTCCTTAAAAAAGCTCAAAATTTTACAATATTAAATCTTGAGCAACATATTCAACGGTACTGAGTATTTCATTCAATCAAAAATATTAAAATCACCATTAAAAAATATAAAACCATAAATATCAGATCAACAAATTAACCCAAAATTTTTTTAAAAAATCTAGAGATGAGAGAAGAGAGATAAAACCCTAACCTGGCTGAATTTGGTTTGCAAAGTGGAGTTAACTTCATCGAAAGTGCGACGAAGAGTGGCGAATTCTTTGCGAGCCTCATCGGAGACCAAAAGCTTAGCCATCCCTTCCCAATCAATGTTCTTCGATGCTTTGAACGCCAAATCCGCTACTTTCTTTCCTGGTCCGCTCATTTTCTCGCACTTTCTCCCTTCCCAAACGCAAAATTTTCTAGCTTTTTTTTTTCACTTCTGGTGATGAGAGCTGCTTCTTGTTGTCTTAAACGGGAATTGAAAATCTTGATTATGGATAAAATTGGAAATTCAAAATTTTATAGATAGACGGGTTTGATCCGCTTCAATTAGGCTTAACCCAATTCATTGATAGACCGGGGTTTAGATCAAGAGACATGGCCCGGTTCATGTCCAATTGGATGCTTTGGACTGGGTTGATTAATCTCATAATAGTTTCTAGGGCCCTTAGAATTTTTATATGATTATTTTTTTTTATTTTTATCAAAGAGTAATATTGGGCTACCTATTTGACTTGAAAATTGGAGATTAGATTTAATTTGATAAAATTTTTTAAAAATATAATTCATATATTTTTAAATTTTATTTAAATTTAATTTTTTCTATTGATTTTAATGATATAATTACTCGTATTGATCCGATGACTTAACCTTTATAATATGGATTAATGAAAAATTTTCAATAAAAATTAAATTTTGAATTATTTTCACCTTTTTCTTTAAAATCTTCCGAATATGATAATAATACTAATTTCTTTACTCATTTTACTTTTTACTCCAAAATTGTTGATTTTTCCTCCTGCAAAAAATCATAAATACATTTGGATGTATATAAAAGAAGTTATTGATTATGAAAGTAACAAATTATAAATAAAAAATTATTATCAACGTAATTGTAAAAATTATTTTTTCCAAAAAAATGAGACCAAATAAAATTCGAGAATACATCAAATTTTGTACCTTGAAATTAATAAAATTTACTCTTTATCCAGTTTGTCAATCCAACACATTTTAGGCCTACAAATTTTTTGTCTATATAATATATATATATATTAAAATTTGAGATTGTTAAAAATTAAATTTTTATTATTAAAATTAAAATTTTAATATTTTATTAATAGATTACATGATTAATGATTAATATTGTTTATTACTTTAACAAATTCATAATTTAATATTCAATAACTTTTGAATACGTAGGTAAACACGTATTTCTCTTATAAAAATATAATAAAAATTGAGTCAAGGAAAAATGTCGGACCAAGGTGTGTGGAAGATGCCTTCAAGCTCAATTGTTCAAATTGGTGAAATCAAATTAAAGGTCCAAAGGCAACAAGAAAAAAAATAAATTTTAAACCAAAATTAAAGTATATATTTTTGCCTAAATATTAATTTTCAAACAAACAATATATTTATAATTTAAGAAATTATTAGAATTTTTAGACTTCACAAGTAAAATTAAAAAAGTGATACATATCTCCTAAAACATATTTAAAAAATAAAAATTAATTAAAAATAGAAAAAATACATGTGCATAATTCTTAACACCATTTCTAGAATTAAAAATTTATATTTACAGGATATTGAATATTAATTTTAAAATTTTAACTTTTTTTTTTTAAAACCAACTGCTTTACGTTTGGTTCACATATCATTTTTGTTTTTTCATGAAAAAAAATTATATATCTACACATTAAGGTTATTTAATTAAGAAATTAGAAAATGAAATAATTAAATTATTGTGCATGAAACACATTAAAAAGAGCTTGGCAGATTGACTCCATCTCTCTTGGTCGACTCAATATTCTTTCAAAATTCCCTTGCCCCTTCCAAGTCCCAAAGTTTCAAAGAAAAGCTTGGCTGTAAAATAGAATTTAAAGAAGAAAATGGGCTGTCACGAGAAGAAAATTGTTGAATATTAGAACCAAGAACGTGGCCAGCAAGTATAATATCACAATCATCTTTTTTTAGAGCATAAATTATAAAACAATCGAATTAATTAAAAATTAAAACGAAATTAAGTTTCGATTATAATTAACATGACGGTCAATAAAATCTTGTTTGTGAGATAAATTTGTTCATGGATTGGATTATTAATTTGGTTCCTAGACACAAGTTTAAAAATTTAAATTTAATCTAATTCGAATCACTATTTAATAAATAAAAATTATTTTTATTTAAATTTAATTTTGAAAATATAAATATTAATATAAAATATTTTTTAATATTTTTAATAATAAATTAAGTTGTTCGAACTAGTGATGGCAACGGGTCGGGGTAGGGCGGGTTTTTGCTCGCTCCGAACCCGACCTGATTTTAAATATGCAATACCCGAACCCGTACCCGACCCGATAATTTTTTCATTTTCAATACCCGAACCGACCCGACATTGTATAAAATCAAATCCGACCCGACCCGAAATTAATAAAATATTATTTTAAATATAAATATAAAATTAAATATATATAAAAATATATAAAATTAAATATAAAATTAAAAAAATAATTTTTTTATATATATCGGGTCGGGTAGGGTCGGGTTTGCTCAAAACCCGACCCCGACCCGAACCCGAAATTTTTTTACTTTACCCGACACTACCCGATCTGATACCCGATTTTCAAAAAAAAAAAAAACCGACCCTAAGGGGTCGGGTCGGGTCGAAACCCGACGGGTTCGGGTGATTTTGCCCACCCTAGTTCGAACTTGACGAACTAAACCGAATCTTAAATAAAAAGTTTTAACAACTAATAATTTGACTAAACCCGATTCATGAATAACTGTACTTTGAGATATTGTTATTCTTGACTCAAGCTTTTGGGTTTTTCTCCTTTTTATGTTCTGACTTTCAATTTGATTTGATGATTATTATTCTTGTTTAACAATGACGTCGAAATAAAAAATTTAAATCTCTCTTTTCAATTTTACGATATTCACATATGTAAAAGGAAAAGCAATTGATGTTATACGTATATATGAATATAAAATTATTTATTTTTCTTATAACATAAAATTATTTGTTTGTGAATATAATTTATTACTTGTAAATGCATTTTTCATAAAAGAGCATATATATAAAAAAAAATTACAAGATATAAACTCGATATCTATAGGAAAAAAAACCTTTATTTTTCTTCATTTAATAACGAATTAAATTTTAAAAAAAAATTAAAATAATGTGTCCATTTCAGGTTTTGAATTAGAATGCATAATTTACGAACAAATTATTAAAATCCGTCAAGCAGGTCATGAGCTTCTCTTCTCTCTGCTTTAAAAATAATTCCCGTCAAGCAGGTTAGAAACATGATATTGTCTTTTGACTTTCATTCTCAAAGACATCTTTAATAGACTCGACGCATAGATTATAATTTCACAACGAATAGTTCACGCCTTGAAGATTGGTTTTGTGGGGTTTTTTTTTAATCTATGAGTGAGATTATTATGACTTTAAGATTTCGGATTTTTTGAGTTTGAGTCAAACGTATGATGATATGTTCATAACTTTGACTTAAAGAAAATTGTACTAAATCCTTCGGATTAAGAACAATGATCAATCTAACTTAAGCGTCGGAGAAAAATTCACCGAAAAAACCTTTAATATGCTCCCATTTTTTAAAGGTTCAAGTCATAGCCATCTATCAATAACCCCAGGCGACCGTTTTCTCAGCAGATAAATCCGAGCCCAATCGATCTAGTTTCTAGAGTCCTTAACAGCGAATATATGATCAAATTCAACTTTTCAAGGAGTTCATAACCATAGTTCTAGTTTATACAAATCTTCCAATTACATTGCTTTACCTATCCTTGTCGAGATGGCAAAAATCAAACTATAGTTTCTAAGAATAAGACATCTTTAAAGAGAATCTACCAAAGTAGGGTCAAATTCTGAAAATCCAACAAATGACAAAGAAATCTATTGTACAAATTTTTTTCACTTAATTCTATATATATCTAACTAAAATCCCAAATTTATGAAGCCCCAAACAAATATAAACAAAGTTTAATTGTATTTGAATTCGAAATTTAATTTAATTAATTCATACAATCAAATATTTAACGTGTTTGGAGTTCAAATATTAAATATTTACAGCTTTTTTCTTTATTTTTGGATTACAATTTTTTTTGTAGAAAAAAAAGAGTTTGGATGTATTTGAATTTTAACTTTTTCCAATTCTTAAACTTATTATTCACAACAAATCATTGTCAAAGCCAAAGGGGGGCTGCAACTAGACTCTAACAAATAAACTAGACAGAAAATTTCTAAGATATGAACAAAATTTCTTTTCAAACAAATTGGTTATCTAGATAGGCAATTTTCCTTGATTAAAACCAGTCTCCTAATAATAGTTTTCCATGTTAAAACAGGGTCAAATTAACGGAGGCATGGAAAAATTTCTAGAGCTTTTCCACAATTAAAGTGGACAAAATCAACTTAATGTCTTAAGGTTCTCCATCTAACAAGCAAATTGCTATTTCTAAATATTGACTTGTTAATTCCAAATTTCTACTAAATGGGTTAATATTTCTAAATTCTAGAAAAGCTTGACTTTTTTCTTTTTCAAAAAAAAGAGGTCACAATTTAGGGATAAGATAAGTGTTAAGATTTGAATTTTAACTATGATAAATACTACTTTTTAAAAATAATTATTGAATTAACTAAATTAAATTTCGAAATTGATCTTTTTCTTTTTTAACTGTTGAATATGGTTAGAAAAGGGATTAAACCTCAGACCTTATCGATATTCACTAGAGGATAACAATTACTAAGCTACATCTTAATTGTTGCAAAAGCCTCAGTTGCTTGCATGTTGTAGTATTTCTTGAAAGGAAAATGCTAAGTGTTCAACAATCTGATTGCTCGATTATATAATAAATAAATAAATAATCATAAAATTATTATTCATTGTTGTTTCATGTCATTTGTGAATAATGAAATAATCGAAAATCAAACAAAAAATATCATTACTCCAATTCAAGCATTTAATTTGCTTTGTCCCACTGCATTATGCAGTGTCTTAATTTCTCTTGATATAGTTCACAAGTCACAGCTGAGCTACATGGTCCCTCGAGCTAAAGCAATTTATTGCTTCTATGAAAGTAATTTCCTTCATAAATATCTTGTTCAAACTTCTTCAAGATAAGTATAGTTTTATAGTAGGAATTTGGTGCTTGAATAAATATTGGTGAACCAAAACTCATTAAAATCTATATTTTTAGTGTGATTTGTGGCCCATCCTCTTAAATAATAAGTTTTAATTAACCTAAATGTTTCTATTTATAGTGTGAATGTTAAACTCCTAGTTATGAACCCTAATTTTTGTTTATATTGGTTTTAACTTTGGGGCTGTTAGCACACCTAACATAATCAATTTCATGTTGAAATATTGGTTGGGAATGTGAAGAAAATAGGAGAGGCTTCAAAATATGAAGGGTTTGACATGCTAGAAAATTTGAATTCATTATGAAAAATTGTGGCTAATTGTTAGAAATTTAGACTTCCTTTGAATGCTAGCATTATAAGAGGGACTCTTATTGTGTCGTGATGGTCATCGCCGTGGGTATTATTTCATTAAATAAGTCTTTTTAACACTTACGATACGGTGAAAATCTTTGTCATCATACGTCGAAAGAGGTTCCTAGTCTTTCGTTTCATCAAAACGTTTTAGACAAATAGTAATAGAATCCCTAGCTTTGCTCCATTCTCATTGGACCAAAGAAATGATTTTGACATATTGATTAGCATTATTAACTAATTTTGTCTTGTCACTTTGAATAAAATCCAGCTAATTAAGCTCCACACACTTGCAATTGGAAATTAAAGATTTACACAAATAAAGGAAAACAACAATTTGTGCAAATTAATGAAAAAGAAGACAAAGCTTACCAACAAATGGAGAATTCCAATTTCCAAGGATTATTCTCAATGAGTTCAATTATGCTAATTTTAGGATAAAAGAGGCTAATAAGCCTTTTTTTTTTTTTTGTTGCAAATGCACAGGCAAATAATTAGAAAAAAATTTTAATAAATAAAATTTGGGAATGATAAATTACTTAACTTTTTAAATAAATAAGTTATTGTCTCGACGATAAGAAGAAGGTTTCAAAATTTTAAAATTTACGGTTCAAATTTAGCATATACAAGTTGAATTCACTTAATTATATATTATTTATTGATTGATTTATTTGTTTTATTGATGTCTTGATGTCATTATAATTTTGCTTTGTAAACATAATTTTGTCGATATTAATATTAAAACATGATTACTAATTATATTATCGAAATCGAATAAATTTTAACCATTGAATCAATCTTTTATTGTAAGCATGACGATATTTAATAAGGTCAAGATGATCACTAGCGGATAATTCCTATGGCTAAGAAACTATATAGTTAATGAGTTTCAAATCGAAACTCCGGTTTTGTTACGATTTTTTTTTTCATTAAAGAAAAGTCATCTAGAGATCAATATTAGAAGAGTTGGAACCATTTGAGAATCAATCAAATGCCCTCTCAAGACTGTCTACATCCCCATTTTTTTCGTTATGGGTCCGTATATGACTTCTTAGACTTTGACGTTTCCTATTACATGGTAACAAGTTAACAGAATCCGTTCAGTACTTCATTCTATGTAATTGTTAGGCCAAAAGGAACTAATCTATTCACATCAATAATTGCATAATTAAACAATAAATTAATTACATAAAATATAATAATTTAACATAATTTAGTTTAACTTATCTACATCTACGGATGAAAAAAAAAATTTATTAATTGTAAAAAATTATAAATATATAATTAAATAAAATATTCACAATTAATACTTATAGACCCTTTCAATTTCTTCTAATTTTATGGAGTATTTTCAACCCAAATATACACATATCCATGTGCACATATGCACTATATTTATATGAACCCTTTCAATTTCTTTTAGTCCACTCACAAACATTCAAACATATACACCTGTAAGATGTAAATCTCCAGTAGTCTTATAAGGTGTTTATCCTATAAAACTCTACAACTCTTTTACATCTTTTTCTCACATCTAATTTTATAGAGATTTTGCTTTTTTATAAATATACAAACTTACTTATTAGGAATATTTTTCTTCTTAGAATTCTTTTTCAACAAATTTTTTTATCTATTAAGTAATATCAAACTAATCTTAAATAAATCTGTTATAAGATTTCGATTACTATTTCCACCAGTAATCCATTTAAAAGGTAACATCCAGTAAATTTAAAGTTTAAATTTCAATATTTGAGAATCTAAAATTTAATTAATTCATATAATTATTCTTAAGAGATGACATTCAACCGATTTTAAGGTTCAAATCTCAGTATCTATAATATTTTCTCTTATCATTAGACAATAGCTTTCTTTGTTAAAAAAAAAAAAAATCAATATCTGTTGTTGATTCCTCTATTTTTATATTGTAATTTCTTTTGTAAAAAAAAAAAAAAAAACAATTTAACTAGAGCCATGAAAAGTATCAATTTGATAAAAATAATTTTGATTTGGAATTTTATTAATCATTTATCTTAATTTTATCAATAAAATTGGTGATTTTTCAATATTTACATCCTGATTTGAAGGCTAGAGCTAATTTATCGATAGTTGAAATTTTTTAATATTTTTTTTAGATTTTAGAAAAGTACATATATTTATTATTAAATTGAATATTTAATTAATTAATTATTAATTTTGAGTGGTCGTATAATTATCAATAAAAAAAAAAGAGAAATGGAATTGATTTTAAGACATAGAAAAGAAATCCCGTCAGTCCCGTCCATAGGGCACTCAAGCGTACGTGACTAGCAATTCTACATTGACCGCAAAAATAAAAAAAGACAAAGCAAAGTTGCTATGGAAGACTGCCTAATTGCAGCCTAAGTACGTTATATATACGTGTGATTGTTTTATAAAATTTGAATAATAGCATTTCAGATTTTTTAACTAAAATAGTATTACAATTCAAACTTCAGATTTTTTTTTTTAATTCTCGTTAATTTTTAATATTCAAATTAAATTAAATACGAATTCATGATTTAACTCACATTCATATAATTATTTTTTAAAAAATAAAATTTAGTATATTTCTAAATTATTTTTTATCTTCAAATTATGATTTTTTTATATAAAAAATTAATTTAAATAAATTTTTTATCTCAAATTACGACATCTTTTACATAAAAAATAAAATTAAACAAGCATTTCAAAAAATACGCATTAATATCACTTGCTTTGTATGAACAATTCTTCTTTCCTTTGGCTCTTTCCAGCTAAGCAAATTGAAGATAACAATTTTTTTTTTTTTATTTGAGAATGAGAGATTCGAATTTTGCTCAAAGAATAAAGGATCATATATTAATTATTGAATTAAATGTTTGAATATTAATTTGAAAAAAATGATTCAATAGAAAATTGGTGGAAAGAAAAAGCAAAACAATACATACAATTTCTAGTTCTACAATCTCCCAATCATATCAGCTTGACGGATTGCAAAGCCAAATTTAGTCAAGAAATTGGCCAAAGAGCTAGCCAGTTTGACAAGTAACTGATCAGAGAAATATTTTAGATGATAAAATTAGGTAAGCTAAAAATTCAAAAATTAGCAGACTCGGGGATAAAGACAGTCATGCCTAATTGCCTATTCCTTTTCCCCTCTTTTCCTATTCCTTTTCTTCTTCTTTTTTCCATTGTAACAAATTATAAATTATTAAAAAAAACCTATTATCCCTCAAACACTGACTTGAGCAGACCGCAAACACCAAACCAATCTTGGGCCTTTCTCGGAGTCAGTTTTCAGCACAAACACCCCTAAATCTGAAATCAATTGCCTAAGGTTCCCTTTGGTCAACAAGATTGATTAAAAAGCATTGGGAACATATATCTACCATAACTAATCACTTTATTGAAAATTTTCTAACTATAAAGATATATTTTTTAATTTAATTTTTGTTTTCTCCTTAATATTTATGATCTCTCTGACTATTCTTCTTCATGTCCAAAGTGGCTCCCAGGCTTGAGCAAGATTGCTGTCATCTAGAAAACAGCTGGTGTCAATGCTGTGAAGTTGCTGCTGAGACATGGGTTCTTTGGATTGTTTCATTTCCATGCAGATTAAGGCTAATAAATTGGCTTGTTGGCACTGCATGGTCACAATCTCAGCTTGTGCCTTGGCCAGTTGTGCTTGGAGGTCACTGACTTGTTTTTGAAGCTGGCAGATTGCTCCGGCACAGCCGTATACCGGGTCCCGAATCCGAGCACTGGCCTCATAAACCATGCTACTCACTGCATCTGCTCTTTGGGACTCTGGTAGTTCCTGAAAATATGTTCAATTTTGTTAGCAAAATGGACTAAAATTTCACCTTTTAAAAATTTTAATGAAAAAAAAGGGCTTGATTTTTGAACCAAGTACTAAATGATGCCTTTGCTAGACAATATGATGCATGCCCTTAGCTAGTCAACTTGATTTTTTTTTTTTTTTGTTAACAAAAGAAGTCGCAGTTTTGAGATAGAAAAAGAGATTACGGATGGTGAAATTTGAATTTCGTATATGTTAAATATCAATTTTTAAGAATGATTGTATGAATCAATTGGTTGATTTTTAATGCATTGAAACATTTTTGTAACCTTGACTGACTTTTATAAACAGTTAAATTCCACATTTTTTTGGCAATTAAAGTCTAATTCTTGATTGGATTTAAACTGTGATCATGGCTGGCTTGGCTTAGACCCTTTGACAAGGAACAGTGTGACCCTTATTCAATTTCTGAGAATAAAGCAGGAAGAAAGAAAAATATACTAAAAACTTGTTCAACAATGGCGGATTGAGAAAAGAAATTAAAACAGAAAGTTAATTAAAAGAATACCTGCAAGGACTTGATGATGTTGCTAGCTCCAAAGACTCTATGAGCAATGGTGAATTTGTAAGGTTCGGATGGAGGGAAATAAGGGGCTAAGATACACTTTTCGACGCAGCGGCGGCGGAGGATTTTGCAGGCAGCACAAGGGCTGACAACAACCAGAGGAGGAGAAGAAGCAGTTGGTGGTGGTGGAGGTGGTGGGAGTTGATGAGAATTATTAGGAGAAGACTGAGAGTTAGGGGAAGGAAAACCTGAAGAAGAGGAAGAAGATGGAGAGTAAGAAAATGGGGTTGAAACTGAGATTGGAGATATTACAGCTTTGACATTGTTTTCCATTGTTGAAAACGAAGAAGAAGAAGAAGAAGAAGAAGAAAAAAAAAAGTAGTTTGAGTTTTGTTTACGGTGAAAAACAGAGCTGCCTCAGTTGAAAGCAGGGGAAGGAAGTATAAATAGAGGGGATATGGCTATAAAATTAAAAAAAAAAGAAAAACATAAAAACCATCATCAAATGATGTCATTGATTATGAGTATGAAAAGAAATCCATCAAGTTTTCTATTTCAAAACTAATTACACATTTCTCTCTTTTTATTTATTTATTCATCGTTAAATAATTAGGTCAAATGAATTTTTATTCGCATCGAATTTAATTTGATTTTATATAATAAATATTTTAATTTAATCCGATTCGATATAATAATATTATATTTTATATCAAACTCAACTTGAATCATATATATATAAAATTACGACTGACTCAACTTAATTTGATTTAAAATTAATAAAATATTATTTTTTAAATATAAAAAAATATATTTGAATGTAAAATATTATTTTTTAAATATAAATATAAAATTAAATATATATAATATAAAATTATAAAATTAAATAAATAATAAAAAGTATTTTTTATATATTTCGAGTTAGAATATGACGGGTTTGCCTAAAACCCAACATTAACTTTTTTTAAAAAGAAAAAACTCAATTCAACTAGACCTGAAACCTAATTTAAAAAAAAATTCTTATAAGATCAAGTTAAAATCTGACATATTAGAGTTAGATTGCCAACCCTATTCATCATTGTAACATTCACAGTTATATTATACAAACATATTGTAGTTTGAAGATAAAAAGAAGAGATTGTAAGTACTTAAATTTAAATTTTAAACCTACAGAATATTTTTTTTTAAAGAAAATTGTATGAATTAACTGAATTAAGTTAACGATATGTTGAATTTATTATTTCCTTGACCTATGACTCTTATATGTTTATGACAAATAATGAATTTAAGTTGCATGTTTTAGTAACCTCCAAATGAAAGGGTATGTAAAGACAAAGACAATAACAAGTCATAGAAATACAACTCTTACTAACTTAAGAAAAAACAAAAATTTAAATGTTGTACATTTCTCATTTCTAAATATAGCTTTAAAGATATTATTAAAACATTATTTTAAAAATATTTTCAATTTAATATGGAGATGGAATTTTTTAATGTGTTACATGAGAATTTTTTTTTTAATAATGCTTAGTAAGAAAATCTTCATTTTATATTTAAGAAGATTTTTTTAAAATTTGAGAGAATGAACCATTCTAATTGGAGTATGAATTATTTAGAAGTCATTTAGTATTGTTGATAATTTTATCTTTTAGATTTAAAAAAAATTTTTTTTGTTTTATATTTATTTTATATTCAATTTGTTCAATTTGATAACATGTTTTTTTTTTTTTTTTGCAAAAATTTGTTAATATCCTTTTATTATAAAATTTTTTAATTTTCAAACATTAAAAATTAATCTCACTATAGCCGAGCAGATAAATAGTGCCCATGTGATGATTAACAATATCAAAAACATTTACAAAACATTCGAAACATAATTTTTGCTTTTCAACAATTTTCAAAACTTTTCAAAACTTTCATTTCATTTTTTTTTTATAAACAAAAACAATTTATCAAACACAATTTATGGTTCTAATTTCCAATAAATAAATAAATAACAATACCAAATCATCCTTACTTGTTATGTGTTTTATTCAACCAAGACATGCACCGCCTTGTCCACGTTCTTCATGCTTAAATGACAAAATAATTGAAAACAAAGTAAATCAAATATGAAATGAGAAGGAAGAACGTGCCTCATGTTGAATAAAATTTCAGTTCAGAGCCAAAGCCAAAGCCAAAGCAAAGGAAAAGTAAATCTGAAACTCCTTCCAGATAGGGAAAAATTTTGACCTGACAGTTTATAAAATGATACGATAATAATATATGAAAAAAATATAAAAAAATATATAAATTATAAATTTAATAAAATATTATATTTAAATTTAATATAAATAAAAAATATATTTTATATTTTTATATCGAAATAAATATATAAATTATAATATAAATATATGAATTGGACGGTGAAAAAATTAGGTCATTTTTCTTTCAAGGGGATCTCTTAATTGTGACTAGCTTGATTCATGAAGAAAAATCTGTGGTGGAATGTTCATGAATCAGAGGTGGGCAGCTCACTGTTAAATAACTAAACTTATTAGGTTTTGGTCATCCACGTAATCTTTTTTATGTCCTTATCCAAAGTTAGATATATCCCCTAAAACTTATCTTCTTGTTGTAACCAAAAAAAAAAATACAAAGTTTCTTGTGGCTGATGCAATCACAGTACTAAGATTTGGTTTCTTGACAAGGCTAAAGACTCGAATTTCTTTTAAAAAATATATATTAAAGTTTTAGTATTTTAATATTTTTAAATATATTTTAAAATTAAAATTAAATAAAAATAAATTTTATTAATAAAATAATATTTTAAATTAGATCAAACTCCAAAACATAAATTTAATAATTTCAGACATAATACGATGATACGATATGAAAATGATATAAAAAAATCGTATATATATTCTAAAAAAATATGTTTTGTATTTATTTATATCGACATAAATTTTAATATAACACAATTTATGTTTTATACATGTTAATACATTTAAACATATGATAAAATATGAATAATACGTTTAATTTAATCTTATTATATGAGTATATATTTAACATATTTAATATGTTTAATACGTTTAACATATTTTTTTATATTTATTTTAATTTAATATAAACATATAAAGATTATTTTAATTTTTAATCTTTTAATTATGATACTGAATTAGTTATTTAATATCATATAAAAATTATTTTAAACATTTAATTATGATTTTCATTTAATAATTATTATAAAATTATTTTTTTATATTAATAATATAAATAAAATATAAATATTATTATTAATCTTATACTTAATTGTTTTATTTTTTAATCTTTAATAGTTTATCATTTTGAATTTTGATACTATAACTTAACGTATTTATGTAATATATATTAAAATTTAAATATATATTAAATACATATTAAATGGGTATTAAATTTTTTATTTTTTTAATATATAAGTATTTTTTTATTATTAATATGCTAAGTTTATTAAGTTATAAATTATGAATAATTTATAATTATTTATTATTTTAGTCGTATTCTCATCTATATTCGTGTTAGTCATGTCTATTCGTATATATCTATATTAATCATAACTATTTGTGTATATCCATATTATTTGTATTTATTTATGTCATATTTAAATAAATTAATTATACACGTATTAATTATATCGTATCACGTGTAACACGAATAATAAACGTGTTATATTCATATTTATAATTTAAACAAGTTTTATAATTCATATCGTATTCGTGTTTCAATAATTCGTATTATTATATGTGTCAAACTTGATATAAGACATGATATGAAAATATAAATTATCAAATCTACCAAAACTCATATCCAGAGTTGGAGTATTTCGCTAGCCACTGCGGAGGCATTAAAATCTGACAAAAGTAATAGGTACTTTACTCCCTCATAGAGAGACAAAACTCGAGTATAGAATTCATGTTATGCACATGCATATGAATGATATAATTAACAAAGTAAATAAATATTCATGAAAAAAATCCATATAAAAGGTTCAATTTTATTAGGGTTTTGGATAACACAAATTTATTTACTGGCCTGACTCTTGAAGTCTCCAGTGGAGTTGCCAAACTGTCATAACATCTGGATCCAAAGATCTATCGCTAGACATTGACTTGAAGAGTCACTACCAATTTTTTTGTTTAGGTGCGATTGGTCACCTAAAAAATTTATCCTTTTAAGGAATACCTAAGCTTGACTAAAGGCCCATAAAAGGATAGGTTCAGGTATATTAACCAAAACAGAATTCGAGAGTTCGGTTACGTGTGTGAAAGGTTATAGCACCCTCACAACGCCCATCGAAAGATAGTATCAGCTTAAATTTGTATTATCCAATAAGCTTTAAAAACTTTACTAAGTAATTAATTATTAAAAATTATTCTTAATTAACTCCAATACTTTTGATAGAAAATCAAAAAAATTCTCTCACCTCAAGAGTATGCGAGAAAATTATTGTTTCACTTGTAAATGCTCTATCGTCGGATTATTTAACATTAAAATTTTTCAAGAAAGAAAAGGAAAAGAAAATAAAATCTCAATTTTAGATATAAATCTTTTAAAAAAAAAAAAAAACTCATTTGCTTTTGTATAAGAAAAATTTATACTTTTAACTTTGCCTCAAAGCATTTGAAAGTTTTTATTTTAAAGAAAATTGATACTTTCAACTTTTCCTTCAAAAATATTTTTTTATAATTTTTATTTTTAAGAAAAATTGGTACTTTCAACTTTTCCCCTAAAAATATTTTTCTTAAAATTTTAATTTTGAGAAAATTTGATATTTTCAATTTTTTTCCAAAAAATTTTTTTTTGAAAATTTTATTTTTAAGAAAAATAGACACTTTCAACTTTTTCTCAAAAATATTTTTTTATTTTTGAAAATTTTATTTTTAAGAAAAATTGATACTTTCAACTTTTTCCTAAAAATATATTTTTTTTGAAATTTTTATTTTAGAAAAATCATTAAAATAATAATAATAAAATAAAACAAAATAAAAAATAAAAATTAAGGAATAATGATAATAATAATAATAATAAATAAATAAATAAATAAAACATTAACTTAGCACGGCTTGAGGAAGAAAAACAGCTTGAGAACGCGACTTGGGATTGCACAACTTGGCTTGGCTCAGCTCTAGGGGTTGGCTAGCACTTGGGTTAGACGTGAGTCAAAAGCGAACTGATTCTCGGGTCGAGTTAGATTTGACAAAACGCGCAGATCTTGTTTCAGCTTTGACACAAAATGATGTTGTTTTTTAAGGGTATAAAAGGTTTCAACTTCTTTTTTTCACAGATTCATTCTTTTTCTCTCTCTCTCTCTCTTCTTTTTTTTTCTCGTCATTCTCTCTAAAAGAACCTATATTTCGGTTGAATGTTTTACCGAAATCTAAAAAATAACGTCGAAAACTTCAAAGTTGACTGAAAAACTCGTCAAAAAATTTAA